AGCTCTGGCCCAGCTCACACCAGGACAACATAACAGACTGGAAATCATGTTTCCAACCCCGGATCACCGGGCTACAAGCCCTTGCAAGCGCGGTGTGAGCTGTGAGGTGAAGGGACTCTCTCTTCCTCTCTTGCTGCTGACACGCGGGAGGTCTCACCCTGCCCTGATGGCAGCAGGGCTGTGTCAAAGGACCATGAGGAGCTGTACTATTAGTCACTACAGATGGCAACAAAGCCTTTGCATATAGCAATGGAGTTATTTTTAGCATATAGATCTTTCTAAATATTTACATCCAGTCCTGCTGAGCTTCCCTTAAAGCACAAACACAGGTCAGCAGCTGAGGGTCCCAGGGAGGTGAGCAGCAGCTGTATTTGCTCTGACATGGGCTGTGTGGGTCCTTTTGCTTCTTCCCTCCTTCAATATGTGTGTGAAACAGCTTCATTTAATTCCTCCAAAAAAACCTGGTTGTTCTGGGTGAGCAAAGCACGCCGTGCCTTGGTACCAGCTACGTGCCCAAGGAACAAGGCAGCTTATTTCCCTCCCCTGGCTTTCCTCCTCCTGTTTTCTGCTGCTGTACTTCCCACTGGCCGTGTCCATCTGCCCACTCGCTGCCTGCAATGGGCAGCCCTGGGGTGGCCGTGACCTGCTGGAGCACTGACTGGGGTTCCCCTGCCCGAGCTCCCCACCCAGAGCAGCTGACAGCGACTGGTTGCTGTATAAAAGCCAAAAAAGATCAAACAGATAAATTCTTCACATCCTTGTCCTGCTTTTCTGACCCTCGAGGCTGTGCTTGTGAAACCTTCTGTGGAGCACAAAGGCTAGAAGTTCTAAGAACAAGAGAAACCGAAAACATCTCCTATTCTCATCCTAAGAGGCGCAGAGGGATGTTGTGAGCTATTCCTGGGCTGTCAGGGCTTCGCTGCCTCCTCACATGCTCAGATCAGCAGTGGGACCACATCCCTCACCCATCGTTGCAGCTGATGAAGGACTGATGACCCCTCGGGTTCTTTAGGGATTAAAATGCTCCAGCTGAGATCATCTGGTCTGGACAGAAGCACTTGGGTAAGAATTGAGAGCCTGCAAAACACAGGTGCTCTGACAGGGTGACACATCTGCTTCTTGAGACGCGGAAGCGTTTTAAGTGTTATTGTTAATAAGAGTCACAAACAACCTCCTCATGAAATCCCTGCTGCTTCCCAGTTAACGAGCTCTCAGTTCCTTCCTGTCTCCAGCTCTGGAAATGTCTGGAGGTGACCAGGGGAGGCACAAGGTCTCATTTCTGATCTGAAGCCAAAAGCCTCGGGCTCCTCTCAGAGATGCTTTCAGGAGATCCCGATGATCAATAGAAGCAACAGCAAAACACGAGCTACAGGTTGCTGCCCTGATGCCATCCTCATGCAGGTTCTCCTGTGATGCTGCAATCAGGAGGAGTCTCCAAGTCTTTGCAAGCACCATCCTGCTGCTGACTGCCAGGATGCTGCTGCCAGTCACCCCTCTCCTGGTCACCCCTTTGCTGGTTGCCCACGTCCCACTCATCTGTCTCCTGGTTGCCCATCTCCTGGTCACCCATCTCCTGGTCACCCACCTCCTGGTTGCCCATCTGGTCACCCGTGTGGTTGCCCATCTCCTGGTCACCCATCTCCCCATCAACCAGCCGAGGTAGCTGTTTAAAATACTCCCAGTCCTTCCTTTCCCCTGGAAAAAGAAACCCCGCAGGACAGCCCTACCCAGCCCTAAACCCCAGCCCACAGCTCCCATTAACCCAGTGCAGATGTCCAGCGGGTGCTGGGAGGTGACCAGGCTGCAAGAACAAATTTCCCTGTCACCTCTGACAGCTTCGCAGAGAAACCAAATGTTTTTCAAAAAGGCCAAGTAAACCCGAGCGGCCAAAGGTCGGGGAGACTCAGACCCCCCCTCTGGCTCACAGCCAGTGGGAACCCCCCTCCCAGTGTGCCAAATGAAGCATGGAGCCCTGCCCAGCGCTCTTCAATGGGCTCTTTCTGAAGTAATGAACCAAAAGGATCTCAGAATGACAAAGCCAATGCATCCTGCTCCCCGCGCCGCCTCTGTCCCCAGGGATAAGAGGGATGTAGGGCTTTTCTCCTGGCTGCCCTGCTCACACCCAGGGCTCTTTGGGAGGCTCTGCCCAAGTCTCCGGTCCCGGTCAAACATACACATGTTCTTGGTGTGACCAGTGCATGGTGGTGGGCTTCCTTCTCTGCTCTGCGGGGGTCTGGTGGAAGGACACCAGCCATGGAGCTCTGCGGTGGGCTGGCTGACATAGTCCTGCTTTTCTCTTTCATATTCTGCTTAAATTAACCTGGTAAAAATAATAAGCTTGCTTTGCTGGCAAACCACCCTGAGATACCCCAGGGAAAATCATCTTTCTATTTCAAACATCTTTTGATTCATAACGACTTCCCTGCTTCCTTGGCACGCTTCTGCGGCCGCCGCTTCTGAATAACGTCCTTCTTGTGTTGACACGTTCAGAAAAACATCTTTAAAAGGAGGGGAAAAAAAAAAAAAAAGGCATTTCTAGTTAATTCCTTGGTGACAAGGAGCGAGTGAAAACACAGCTACGAACAAAGCTGAGCGAGTAAATGTGCAGATCTGCTCCTGGGAAGGGTCTGGCTTTGCCGGGAGGGGATGTGAGGAGCTCTGCACACACGTGCTCCTGCGTCCCCGTGGCTTGAAGCAGATTCTGCTGTCAGACGTGTCAGAGCCACACCAATTCCGGAGAGTTTTTCATTTACAGTCCATTTGCTGAGCTGCAGGTGTCTCATTGAAAAGAAACATTGCAAGATGTGTGTGATTATTACTCATAATGTAATTTGTGTGCTTGTGGGAGGCCTGGCTCGTTATGTGGCTACAAATGAGATGAAATGGCCTTATCATATTGATTCCCACACTGTGATACAAACTCCTCCAGCCTCAGTGCCCGCCGGGGATCTCAGCAGCTCGGGTGCTGGTTGGCCACGCTGCTGGTTTACACTGATCCCTGCTGCTCCCGGTCTGAGCGCTCGGGAACCGGCTCTGCTTGGCTTTCCCCAGAGTGACGCCCCGGTCCCACCGCTGCGATGTGACCTGAAAGTCATCGTGGAGCCGGGGCACCCGCCTGTGCTCTGCAAACCCCCAGGTGTTGGATGTGTCGGGGCTGGCCCTTCTTGGAACAGAAAGGTTCTCCCCGTGTCACAGAGACCCAACCCCGTGGGGCTGGTGGGACACGAAGGTGCTGGTGGGCATCGGGCTCTGGCTGTGCTGGTGGGGGATGCTCAGGGACCAGCCCCACGCGAGGCTGCGGGGAACAAAACCTGCAGAGAGCTCTCACAGCAGCTCAGAGCCTTTGATTTACGACCTGTTTCACCAGCTTGTTCCCAAAGGGTTGTGTCTGGCCAGGCTGAAGTGTTGGTGTGCAATTGCTTCTGCAGCATTTCCAGCACCACTGCCCAGACACTGCAATGGTGTCCTGGTGCTGAGCTGGGCCAGAGCTGGTTCTGTTCAGCAGCTGGAACAGTGCTGGGGGTTGGGTTCAGCTGGGATTTGTCAGGAGAGAAATGAACATGATTGAATAGTTCTTCTCTCCCCCTACGAGTCTCCTTCCCCTCGCCCCCCAATTCTCTCCCCTGTCCCCTGGGTGGGAGTGAGCGAGCGGCTGTTTGGTGCTACAACCACCTGAAATGGCTTTGGCTGGGTGTCCCGTGGGAGGGATTATCCTGTGCCCTCATCCCAGCCATGGCTGTGACCCAGCATGGACAGGTCCCACAGGACAGACTCTCCAGGCCGGCTTAGCGCTGAAATGAATCGATTTGCAAAGCTGGAGTTGGCATCAACCCAGCCCAGGGGCTGAAGCCTTTTGATCTGTGAGACCCCAGTGCTGCCAGCACCGACCCCACCGACCCAGCTGAGATTTTAACGGTGAAAATGGCAGTTTAAATGATTTTTGAATGCGAACTGATGGCCCCTTTCTGAGAGAGTAATCACATCTCCACTGTCACCAGGACCTAAATCAACTCCACTTAACTGTGTTTCAGTGAAAATCCCTCAAAATTCCCCAAGAGGAAGAGAAAGTATGAAACTCTTCCATGTCCTTCAGCAACTGTTTAATTTAACACACTCGTGAGCTATAGCCATGAAACCCCAAGACACTGAGCAGCTATCCCCTGGGAGCGCGACGGGAGGATGGGACGGATGGTGCCGGAGAGAAGGAAACGGGACTGAACACAGGCTCTTGAAACATAAAAATTTACACCACGTTGGAGAGGAATAAAACACACACGGTGAAATCATGGCTTGTGTTTTACATACAAATTACAGGCGGGAACTGCCCCTGTTGTGGGACTGACATTGCTCCCAACAGCACCAAGTGAAGGAGAAACCGGGCACACGCGGCTCCAGCCTCTCTCCGTTCCACACAGGCAGGATTGCCTTCAAGGTCTCCCACTTTTTGGGCGTCCTCCATAGCCTGAACAGTAATATGGAAAGGAATTCCTACCAAAATGCTCCTGACCTTCCTCTGGGGACCAACCTAAGAATAAATCCTCCCTAAGACAGGGAGAGTTTAACATACGACACTCCCGGACTGGTACGAGCTGCACCGGCCGCATACCGCTCCTCGTACAATATTGGATATTCTAGTTAAAAGAATCAGCTAAACCTTAACAGAGGTGAATCTATATAAGCAGAAAAAAAACAACAAAAAAAGGTTTTTAGCTTGTAAGAACACAGAAAAACCCCTTACCCAACCCTTACACTGCTGCGCCGGGACTGCACCCAGAAACCCGGGCGTGGAAGCACTTTGCTGCTCACACCGGGGCCAGAGCCGCTTTCCCTCTCCTTCACAAACGTGTCAGACCCCAAAAGCAAGGTGTCACTCCGCTGGTGACACTCCACTGGTGCCTTGGTGTCCCTGAGCACCCCCTTTGCTCCAGAGCGATTCGGGCAATGGCTTTAGCAGAGAAAGCCGGCAGTGAGGAGATGAGGGTACGGAGCCTTCGCACACGCCGTGAGCCCTGGACTCCATTCCTCTGCCCTGTCTCTATGTCTTCAATTATTGCTATTTAACTTCAGTGCGTAAACGTTGCAATGAAAATGACAGAAATAAGTTGCTAGCTTCAAGAACCTTAAGGAAAATAAAACAAACCAACCCAACCCAGACGGTGGCTGTGCTGGTGGAATGCTAGATGCTCCCTTCATATATATAAAAATAATAATAAAAGTCAAGATTCCGTGCTGGCCTGCCAACACTATCGAGAGGCTGACGTGTCAAATGATAGCACCATGAGCACTTCTGAGAGGTCTCCCTCCAACTACTGCTGCTTTTGGTTTCCCTTCCCCAAAAAAGTTTCCCCACCAGTCACCCAACGGCAGCGTGACCCCGACGGAGGGTCCCGGCATCTCCCATGGGAGCAGCGGGACCCGCACACCCAGCCCACCCCAGACCTCCCTGTTCAGAGCGATGGTTTGAGCACCGTTAGAGTGTAGCACAAATACAAGAACCGAATCCTTCCCCGTGTTGTGAAAGAGCACCGCGCAGCTCCGCCGAGCCAGAGCAGCCATGTCCTGGCTGTGACCAAGCT